AAGGCAGTTGCCAAGGCCAAAATGAAATCAACTCGGTTGATGGTCGCTGCTTTCGTAGTTTTGGTGTTCAGTAGGCCGCCAATCTTAGTATTGCAAGTACTGGAGGTGTATAGAGTATTTGACAACCGATCATTTAAAAATACATTCTTAATTTCTATTTGGTGCGCAATGGCGCAGATATCCAGCTCTTCTCTAAGCCCTGTCATCTACACATTCCTGAGCCTGAGTTTAGGACAAGCGTTCTCAAACACTGTTGCTTCTTTTGTTCTCGTCGCGTGTCTACTCGTGGTCATCAACATTGTCCTTTAGGTCGCGTGGAGCCTGTCACCTGACACAGACGAATCACTGCGGAAAATCATCAGAACATTAAGTTTTCCGCGTATGTACCCAGTGCATGTCTATTTTTGGAGTCACTTCGCAGGGGACTGAGTACAGAGAGCGACTAACGACAAGGGTTAGGCCGAAGGACTAAGACACACCACTATTTTGGCTCAGGACACGTGGAGTCTGTTATAACCTACAAATATTAGCAAGTTTTTGTACGCACTGCATGCCTACTTTTTGAATGGGCTCCGCTGACCAAGTGGAAACAACAAGCGCGCAGAGGGAGTGACTGGTGACATCAATGAAGTGCAGGGGATCCCTTCCATGTTTGCACCTTCTCCTCTTTTAGCAAAAAAAAACCCTGGTTGGTCTTCTTTGCGTTTCTCACATGTATGAAATGCTCAAGATGGCCTTCCTTATTTCAATGCCGTACCTGGCCGAAAAATATTTACGTCCTTAGACCGACCAAAATCAGCTTCTTAAAAACTAAATTGGGGTTTTTAAGTGAATATCGTCTTAAATTCCAAAAAACTGTTTACCAATGGATCCAAAGAAATCTAATGAGAAGCAGGAGAGGCACGCACTGCAGGCTTTTATGAATCTTGACAAAACTGGTGCACAAGAAGACTTTAAACTTACACGGAAATGTGTAGCATCGAGAGAGGAGAATTAACAGTCGGATCTTAGGAGCAAAAGGGTTACCAGTCAGATAAGACTTGACTTTCATAGTATGTTGCCGATCCACTTTTCCTGGTTGTTTTTCGAAGACCATATTGAGAGAGGTCTTTTCTCTAACCTCCTTCTCTGAAAATATGTGCCATTCAACTTTATGTCACTTGACATTGTTTTGCAGCATAATCTATTTTTGCTTGTTTCCGAAGAAGTCAGGAAGATTATCGTGAAGACGACCTTAACAAGTTGGCAGCCACAACACAGCGTGAACACATGAAAAGCAATGAGCTCATGGGAACCTTAAGGTATTGAAACAGAATTTGTCCCAAGTTGCTGGTCCCTCAAAAAACTCAATCCGCAATCCTCAATTCTCAATCTTTGATTAACCTTATTAACCCTTTCACCCCCAAGATTGAAGTATCAATTCTCCATATTGTTTGCCATACATTACTTTAATTTTAGACCAGAGAATTTAGTGCTAAATCAAACGGAAAATCACCAAATTGAAAATTTTCTCTCTTCTATTTTCCTTTTTACTTGAAAATATATTGGATGATATTGTAAGGAGAAAATCAATTATATTTTATGGGTTTTATTTATCTTCTTTTTTCAGGATCAACAGTAAGAATTGCTTCTTACCTTGATTCAGTGATGTACACCTTCACTCTGATGGTAAGATTTCAAGGTGTCCATTAGGCTTTGGAGATTGGATGTTATCTTAACTTTTACACAGAATTCTCTGTTTCTATTCAGAATTCTCTGTTTCTATTCAGTATTCTCTTGCATCTTAACCCTTTAAGTCCCACTAGTGCATGACCATGCAAGACAGAATTTCTCTTACACTAGCTGTCAATATGATATCAAGCTGACAAGATATCAAGCTGACATTGGTTGATCTAATTCCAAATTCTCCAAACTAACGTCACATAAATTATATGGCTGACAGCAAGGAGAATGGCTAATGAAATCTTGGGAGTTAAAGGGTTTATTTCTTTATGACAATGCTGAGATGTTTTTTGATTTATTTACATAATTTATATCTAGTTCAGTTCTCCTCTCTCAGAGGTGGTAAATTTTTATTTTTTGCCTTTTAAATTTGATACAATATTGAGTCAGCAGGTTATAGGAAGGCCCTATTACTTGTTGCTGTTCATGAAATGAGCTTGAGTTCACCCAGTTTTTAAAGGGTTATAAGGATTGCTTTTCTTTGGATAACCAGGGATTGAGAAATTTTTTCTGTGTTAATAAGAAAGTTGCTCTACAATCTAAAAGGATGTGTAAGACTTGATTGGAACTTTTTGTTGTTCAGATATTTTTCCTGTTGTCCTGTCTAACTGCAGCAGGGTCTGCAATGGTTTTTCATGCCATAGTTGTTAGTACACCAATGGTTGTTTCAGTGCCATGAAATGTGGTTTGTTTGGGGAATAATGCCAGTGGGAAGGAGAGCAAAACTTCAGGGACTGTGGTCAAACTTCCACGCTATGGAGGGAGTCCAACTCTTGTGTCTAGTTGGTTTTTATTGTACATTAAATGATTGTTGTTCTTCAGCACAAAGCAGTGTACATATACATATAAACCCTTTTCCCTTTCTTATCTGCAAGCTTTGTGGATGAACTTTTTAACCCCCTGAACTTTCCTGTCCTGGCTTCGCATAGAGTCTGGATGTAGGAATCCTATGTAGGGCATATAATGATGTGCTGAGGGACTACGTTACACTAGTAGGGTACAATGTAGTCTTCAAGCTCAGGTTACAATGTAGATGAGCCAGTTATCCTTGGAAATGGAAACTGTTTGTTCATGAAACTTATTGTGAAAACATTTCTTTTCTCGCTTCAGCCAACAAAAGCAAGGTGTATATGGAATTCCACCAGAACCTGATCTTTGAGTTGTTCTCAAAGAGGAAAATGTGAAGGAAGATAAAGATAGGCCAAAAGTGAGTACATTTTGAAAATATGGAGTGGTATTTAATTTAGTGAGGGAGGTTTGCATTGTAGCTTTAGTTTTGCCATACTATGTTTTTCAAATAAATTATCTTACCTGGGAATGAAAGTTGCCTAATTGTTTTGCCTCTTAAACCCTTTCACTCCTTAGATCTCAGTATTCATTCTCCTTACTATATGCAGTACAATTGGTATGGTGTTAGTTTGGAGAATTTGGTTTTGGATCAATCAATAATCCCCAAATTGATGTTTTTCTTTTTTGTTATCACTTTTCTGCTTGATTTGCATTGGTATTGTAAGGGGAAAATCTCTCTTGGTCACTCATGAGATTAAAATAAAGCAACACTGGCAATGATAATGACGATGAAAACTTAATTAAATACAAAAGGTCAAACAGTTGAGTGACACACTTTATTTTTCAGATGATATAATTATACAAAGTCAGTTCACTTTGTTTATCAATGCAACTTATTTAGATGTGCAGAGCTTCTTATTTATTACAAAACCAGATAAATTCAAATGAATCCACTATACTTGAAACAGTCTTATGCCCAGGCCTCCAATGGCCATGCTAAGCCCCTTATTTCATTTTTAAATATGAATGTAAGCATTATGTGGGTTCTGAGGTCATCAACATTTAAACTCTAACAAATATTTTCAATCCTAAGAATTCTGCTTACATTTCAAATCATGATTTCCGTTTTGAAATGGTAGGTTGATCCTTTCTTAAGCTAAATCTATTTTTCAGCTGATAGTTACCAATAATGTTTGTAGACAAGGTTCTGTTTTTGGCTGAAAAATTGAAAGCCATCCACTTGTTCTCTGAACTATTCATATACAAAATTGACTGATGACATGACAGCTCTTCACATGCTGATACAGCCCTTGGTTTATCAAGTTCAGTATATTTTCTGTGTTTGACTGAAACATATTAGTTTGATTCACTCAACACCTGAATCTCTTATTCAAAAATTCTCTTCACCTAGAATATTTACTATATATACAGAACTCTCAAGAAATTTTCAAAATACACCACCAAAAAAGGGTTTAAATTTCTTTGAAAGAATCTTTCTACAACTTATATGTTTTTTATTTAATTCTATCTACAAAAAATTCACAACTACAGTCACAGATTTTCATATCTATATTCCACTTAAAAGGTGAAAAATGTTCAAAATCAGAAGTGACTGTTATTTTTTGTTGTTATAATTGTACCTGAACCAAATCATAATGAATAACCACAACCTTTTGTTTGTTAAAATAATGAATACCAGATGTATTTGAAAAGTTCTGTAAACATCATGATAACATTATCAATAGCAATATCCTTACATCAGAATGCTTTACAGGCGTACATCATGGATTTTGTAAATGCGTGACTTTCAAACTTGCGTGACATTTGCGTTACAGTTGGCCTTTGTGCCATTTGATTCCTTTAAATAGTTTTTCTCTCTCGCTTTCATTAATCGCCTGTTCATGTTCGGTGTTCATCTAAAGTTAATTTATAAAGTGTTATTTCAAGCCACCGGCGTATAGGGACTGATATGTAAGTTGTTTTCGCTTTTTTGTTGTTTATCTCGTTTCGAGCAAGCTCTTTCGTCCTTATTTGTATATATATTTTGTGTTTGCCGTAGCATTTGGTTCATTTATTAGTTCCTTTATTATGTTAGATTCATTTACGCTGTTAAGTCGCCACGTGCTTAATTGAATACAATCTATTATATAAGTCCCTTTTTTAATTCGTTTACAGTTTACGAGATTGATTAAAGTTATGTCCCTGTAATATATCCCCTGGATTTGGTTGGCATTTTTCTCCGGTCACGATTTTCTTGGTATTTCATCGAGCCTTGATGTTCGTTTGCCGCAACAGATTTGATTAACCTTTTTTCAGTCCTACCACTCCGCCAAAATTATGTACACTAAAGAATGTCTCTTCGTTTCTTCCTTATTACTTTATTTCTATTCATTTGTTAATTTTATATAAAACTCAATTAATATATTAGTAACCAGTTGAATTTTGCTCTTCTCAAGATAAGCCAAACAGTTCACCAGAGCGAACGTGGACTACTCAATTATCTGAATACAATGGTCAACAGCATCAGTAAAAACAAATCTCCCTGTACTGAGAACAGCTAGTGCATATGGATCCAGAGTAGAGAATTTTCCTAACTGTTTACCTTTTTTTTCAAACTTACCGACAAACTTTCCATTTAGTTCAAAGACTTGTATTCTACCATTCCCTGAGTCACAGACCATAACTTGTCCTGACTTGTTCACTAACAAACATCTTGGAAAATTAAACTCCCCGTCCCCTGCTCCCCTCGTTCCAAACTTGTACCAAAACTTTCCATTCCTGTCAAAAACTTTGATACAATGATCACTATGGTCTGACACCATGAGATATCTTTCATACTGAATACAGTGCAAAGGAAAGGTACAAGAGACGTGCCCACCTATCTTTGTCAGAAACTTGCCTTCAGGAGAAAATATCTTTATCAGTTTGTTACCTGCGTCTGCAATAATGATATTCCCCTCACGGTCTACAGACAGGCCCATGGGATTATTAAGCTGACTATCAAGGTCTCCTTTCCCACCAAAACATCCCACGAACTCACCCTCACCGCTAAAAATTTGAATTGTATGGTTATTACAGTCTGCTACAAAAATATTACCATTATTATGAAACGTTATTCCCCGAGGACTGATAAATTCTCCCGCATTGTTACCCTTCTTACCAAATGATCTCAAAAACTTTCCTTCTCTACTGAAAATTTGAACTCTGTAGTTACTTTGATCAGTTACAGCGATCTCGTCATTAGCATTCACTGCAACCCCCCAAGGCCGAGAAAACTTTCCAACCGAAGAACCCTCCCCGCCAAAAGATGAAACAGGTCTAAACTGAAATGGTTTGACGCGGACAATAAATTGACCGCCGTGCACACGTTCCCCGTTTACCTTTATTGCTACTTTACATCTTCCCTCATTTATTGTCAGTTATTTGCAAATCCGTTGCGCAGTCGCGTCCTTGTTCGTCAATGATCTCCACCGTTACACGGTCACCTTTATTGTAACATTGTCTTCCTTTAGAGTCCCTTGTGGTCAAAGAAAACTGTGCTTGACGATTAGTAATTGCTTCTTCAAGTCCTTTTCCTTCGGCGACTGACTGACTTGCTTTTGTTTGGTGTGCTATTTTAACCATTCCGATTTCTTCGGCGTTTATGGTGCTTAGCATCTTTGGGTTTTCCACGAAAGCTAAAACAGGAAGATTTTCCGGGTAACGGTCTTTTGGCTGGCTTTGACTAGTTTCATGAAAGATTTCCTCGAATGATTTCTTTAGTTGAACGACTTCGGCGCGTGTGCTTCGTTTTAGAATTGTATCAGCTTTTTCCAACGATGATTCGATGATCTTTATTTCACTCTCGATCTCCTTCTTTTGCGTTGCTAGAGTTTCGAGGAATATCTTCGTTTCGTCTTCTATCGCTACGATGATTTTTTGTTTCTTCGCTTCAATGGTTGCAATTAAATCATCAACAAACTTCTGCACTTGTCCCTTGATATCTTCGCTTCGTTGTCTGAATTTGGCGTAGTCTTCATCAAGTCGACCCAAAGTGTTAATCTTTGCTTGTATATCGTGCTTCTGTATTTCAATCAGTGATTTTAGTTCCATCTTTTGTCTTTCCGCCTCTTCCTCTAGGCACAATATGGCGTGACCCGTATGGTGTATCAAAACACAGCTTTGGCAGGCTGCCGTTTCGCAGTTCTTGCAGAAGTATTTAAGTTCTTCTTCCTCATGCCGCTGTTTGGAGCAGAACAAGGGTCGTTTCAACACATCCTCGTAATCCTTTTCTTGAAAGTCTTTGAGCGCTAGAACTCGGTGATCTTTATTCCTTTGAATGATGTTATGTGCAATGAGGCACTCTTCACACCAAAACATGCAACACTGGAAACAGTAAGAACTGTGGGAACTCTTCTTTGGACAGTTTGCACATCCAACATGGCTGGTTTTGCATTCTTTAATGGCCAGCACATCAATGAAGCCGTTCAGATAAAAACTGGTGGGAAGATCTTTCAGATCGCCACTATCAGGCACTTTGCTAACAACTTGGCATTTCGGGCATCTGATTGTGTCTCGGCCATGGCCTGATCTGTGCCAGTGTTTCAAGCATTGCAGACAGAAACTGTGAAGACATGGGAGGTGCTTTGGATCTTTGTATATGTTAGTACACACTGGACAAGAAACTTCTTCACGAAGATTGTGGAGCAACGTTTTGATATCCATGGTTCGTCCGTCTTTTTTGAGGAGAGAGCGAGAACAGTGGCTTCAATTCTCGGAAGTTGACTCGAAACAATGAAGTCTTGTGACTTTGTATTGTTTTCAAAGATTGGGTTGTTATTTGTTATGGTTGTCTTTTCCACTGCATCAGCCAATCAGGGATCCTTTTCTGTAAAGCATGTCATGGAATGCTTTGTCATGAATACTGATTCCAAGAATGTAATTTTAACCCTCAGGTATCTGGCTACTGCTAATCTCTTCTTGCAGACAGGTCATATTGCTTTCATGCTGGCGAGAAGAGTTTGCGTTGAATCACAAGTTTTTTCTCTTCCTCTCTTCTTGTTTTGCCTTGTGTCCTTCGAGCAAACAAATAAATTTCATATATAGCGAGCGTGCTTGCCTCTACATTTCTAAATGATACTGCGAGCCTTCAATGATTTCCCTGGTGGTTCAACTCGCGGGGTTGTAAGGGTTGTTATGTTTTAGTCGTTGCATTTCGCAACTTTGCGTTACGACGCTGGACGCATCTAATCTTTTGCTCTTTTTTATGTTTGTAGAAAAAGAAAGTGAAGAAAGATTCCAATGGCCCAGGTAAAGCTGAACGAGAAATCTGTCCTTTTTTCCTGGTCCCAGTTGTATAGAGGGTGGAGAACGCTATCCAACGGATAAATCGCTATCCAGCGGATAAGTGATAACAAAACGTATAGCGTTATCCACCGGATAGAGATTTATCCACTGGATAGCGTTATCCGATCTTCGAACAACCGGGGCCTGTTTTTGTTTTGTAATTGCTAAAAGGGCATTCACATCTTTGGTGAGTGACGTAGCTTTCCTGTTAATTGAGTAATGTGAGTATTCAAGAGTGAAAAAGAGTCTATGCAACCTCATTCCCAGGCGCCTCTTCTTCTCGCTCTCCAGAGGTAAGAAGTGAGAGACGCTGGAAACTGGAAGCTACATATAACTTTTATATGGTTGTCCATTTCGGCCTTCATGAGACTGGGAAGGGAGGGGTGGGTGACTTTTTTTTTTTTTTTTTTAGCGAGGGTATCTCATTAAAAAGAGGGTGGCCTTCATATGCTCAGAATGTTTTGACAGGTTTGCATAACTTTTACCATATTTATTACATGATTCTTTCACGTCTCAGCACCTATTGATGTTTGAGCGCCGTAAGAAAGCTACTGTGTTCTTATTTTTAGGCAAGAAGAAGCAAGACCGCCAGATTCCTTTCCCTGACATATAGGTCATTTCCGCTTTTTAGTCCACAGTTCATCGAATACTCCGCTTTCTTCCCCGGAAGAAAGAAACAATTTGCCATCCTTTACTTCAGTTCGCTTTGGTAAATTGGGCGTTGGACTTAGCCGGTTTTCCAACAAGAAAAGGATAAGGAAAAACGACTATATAAGTTTACGCAAAGCCCTCTCCCCTCCCTCTCTCAATTTGTAGAACTGGGTTTTCGTTTGGGGCAAAAGGCAGCGCTCCGATGAAAACGAAAATATCCTATTGCAAGCTAGACATGCTGTTTAAAGTCTTCTTTCTTCCAAAACTGTTTTCGGCTCTTTCTAACCATCGGCCAAAAATGTCACGCAATATGTAGGGCCTAGTTCTTGTGTGACCTTCCAAGTAAACCTGCGAAGGTCACAATTTTCAGCATTCGTGTTTTATTTTATCTTTTATCCGCTTTGCAACCTAAATTAAAATATTTGGGACCATCTAGTTCTACGCTGTAATGTGTTTTTTGCGGTCTAATTTATCAAGAAAAACAGTGATAAGGTGGTGAAGAGAGCACTGATGAGGGAGGCGGCCAAAAGAGTCACTTTAGGACCTGCTTCTCTTCCTTCCATCTGCTTCTACAGTGTGCTTAATGCTCACTCTGGTAAGAGCGGTAAATAAGAACAATCGTTAATAAACTTAACTAAGCCCACCACTGACACAATCTCACTGCTGTCTCCAAAGTTCCTTGAAATAAGCGGTTTTCCACAATAATTCTCTTTCGGTATAGCTTTCAAAGCAGACGTCGCTCCGACAACAACAACAACTCCTCCTACTACATTAGTGAGTCTTAATAAATATTCACAAAGTGTTCTGGAACATTCCAGAAGCTTACATAAGAACTATTTTAGAAGTATTACTTAATAAATGCGTAACTTGATAAGTTGTTCTGCAAAGTTCTATGGTATGCAAGTCAGCATGACTCAGCAGTCTGAAGATTTCTAGAGGCCTATATTTACAACAATTACTCATAACCTCTGATTGTTTGAAATTATGGCACACGTTTTAGACCAATCACAGAACCCAGTGAGAGAGAAACAATGCCATCTCGGATTGCGTTTTACTCTCAGTTTCTAAAACACAACACGGTTGCTGGGGTGAATTCTAACTCCTCAAATATATTTTGAAGCTTAGTTGCCTTAACAACAGGTTGCAATGTCCAATATGTGGAATCTCTCCTCAGCCCCCGTGGACACTACTTTGCATCAGCATCACATGACCGTACGGCCCGACTCTGGAGCACAGACCAACCACGACTACTTAGGGTCTTCGCCGGTCAAGTGTCTGACGTCAATGTATGAGAAAGATTTGTTGTAATCTCTTATAAATAAGATGGGCAACCCAGGGACAAATTGATTCTCGTGAATAAAGTGCCAGCAGTTAGGGCAAGTTGATGATGTAAGGCCTGAAAAAAAGAAATCAGACGTAAACGAAACTTCTGAAGGCTTTACTTCAGGCAATTTCTTTAACTGTAGCTTAATTGCACAGATCAGTTTATCACGTAATCCTTTCAAGGGATACGTTTGATTTGGCACATCATCAGTTGGGATTTTTTATTCAGTTGCCGTGGGTTATGGCTCAAGTAAAATTGTGAGTAGAAAGCTGTCCTCTGGTCGTCAGCTTGAACTACTGAAGTACGGGGAAAGCCTCTAATCGCTTAAGGTGAACAGGCTTTTTTGGAGGGAAGGAGAAAATATGATTGCAAATGTTTAAGCAAACACTTTATATGTTCCACATCTTGAAAAAGGTTAACCCAAATTTTTCCAAGTTGGTCATTTTCATTTCTGTCTCTTTCTGCCTTTTTTTCGTTCTTTGTTTGGTTTTTTTTTTTTTTTTTTGTCATATTTAATTGTTTTTCTCTCTTATCAAACCAATATTTTGTGGCTTACCTCACCTTGGCGGCAAAAGTTGTGCGCCTTTGAAAAAGGCCCAGACTTCTCTAATGTAGATTATTTAATCCTTGGGCCCCCTACACGTGTGAATTTTTTCCCCTCATCTTAGAGCGTCGTCTTTCATCCGAACAGCAACTACATTCCCAGCAGGTCGTGTGATCGGACCGTCAGGCTCTGGGACATAAACACAGGCAGCTCGGTCCGGTTTTTCACGGGACATAAGGTACGTGTGAGAGACTGGGTACTACTGTCTTTGTTCTCATTTAGGGTGATTTTATTTTGCTAACTTTATAACTGCCATGATTTCCTGCCACATCTTACAAGGAGCGATTTATTCACTGGCCTCTTCACCTGATGGCCGTTACCTAGCTTCGGGTGAGATTTTTTTTTGTTTCCTGCCCCTTGGGACCAACACAGCGGAGCGGTCAAACGCCGGGCATGCGCCTGGGATAATTTCTAGCCGGCCGCGAGGCAATTTCCCCAAAAGGTTAGCAACAACCGCTGTCTCAGAAATTAAGCGAAAGAGAATTGAATCGTTCATAGGAATTTGTAGAATGAAACAAAAGTAGGGAAAAAAGAGAACTCGAGACGGGTATCCTGTTGAGTTACCATTCTTTTTCGAGCTTCATTATAAAACTTATACGCTTTTTAAACACCGTAGCTTGCTGGCTTGTGTAATTTTCTGTGACTTGGGTGGGACAACTTGATCTTACCGGCCTGAAAGCACGACACCTGGTCATACAACGTTCGCACATGCGTAGACGCTTGACCAGTGTGTTCTTGTAACTATCTTTTCATTCGCTTGGTATCATAAGACATGTTCAGGAGTTGTTTCCTCTTTATGAGATTTCAGTTATTTATTTTTTTATTTGATGTCTTCTCTATCTGTTTCCTTTGCACTTTCCACAAGGGATCCCTTCTGACGTATACAAGGGAGTTTGCGCCATGCAGAAGTGGGTGACAAATTGCCTAACTTTTTGCTCTTTGTTCCATTTATCGTTTAGGCGTTGATAAGCGTATTCTAGTATGGGATCTCCCAGAGGGGACATTATTGACAGAGCTAAAAGGACACTCAGACTTTGCTTCCAGGTGGAGTAGATAACTTTGTAAAGCTGTTGAATGCTCGCTCCATTTGTAATCCTGATGATGACGACGATGAAGGAACGGACCCGAAGAAAGTGTTACAGCTTTATCCCTCAGTGTACAATTACAGTTCGTGTAATTGTGATAACAGTACTGCAACGAGACAACACTCGCAAATTTCATTGAATTAGATAGCAGCGAATCCAAGTTTTGCATGAAAGTCGATGCATACGGAATATTCATATGGGTCATGTGGCAATGCTGTATTTGAAGTAAAGAAGTTTATGTTTTGTTTAAGTCGCTATTTGAAATTGATTTGAATCAGATGACTATAAACTCACTCTGTAAAAACTTACAAATATTAAGAAGTCTGCTTACGTTCCAAAGTACAAAATAATGATAATGATTTCCAGTTTGGAATGGCAGGTTAATCCTTTCTTGAGTTAAAACTATTTTTCATCTGATAGCTACTAATATTTAAGGACAAGGTTCTGTTTTTGGCTGAAAAATTGAAAGCCATCCACATGTTCTCTGAATTATTCATATACAAAATTAACTGTAATAACTTGGCCACTCTTCACATGCTGATACAGCCCTTGGTTTATCAAGTTTAATGTATTTTCTGTGTTTGACTGCACATATTAGTTTGATTCAGTCAAACCTGAATCTCTTACTCAAAATTCTCTTCACCTAAAATACTTACTATATACAGAAATCCTATGTCCTTGTTATTTCTAAGACCTCAAGGCACTTACAAAATACACCACTAAAAAAGGGTTTAAAGTTCTTTGAGAGAACCTTTCTACAACTTACATGTTTTTTTCATTTTATCTACAAAACATTTACTAACAATTTGCTAACAAATTTTCAAATCTTAATTCCACTTTAAGTGAAAACACTTTTGCATAATGAATAATACAACCTTTCGTTTGTTAAAATAATGAATACCAAATGTTTTGAAAAGTTATGTAGACATAACATTCTCAGTAGCAATGCGCTCAGAATGCTTCACAGGTGTACATATTGGGTTTGATTAACCTTTTTTCAGTCCTACCACTCCGCCAAAAATTAACGGATCTGTGCACCAAAGAATTTATTTTCATTTCTCCCTTATTACTTTATTTACCTCCATTTGTTAATTTTATATATAACTCAATTAATTTATGTAGAAAGCGGTTGAATTTCTTTCTGCTTAAAGTAAGCCAAACAGTTCACCAGAGAGAATCTGTACTACTCAATTAACTGAATACGATGGTTACGAGCATCAGTAACAACAAATCTCCCTGTACTGAGAACAGCTAATGCACGTGGAGTTGTCAATTCTCCTAAATGATTATTCTCTGTTACAAACTTACCTACAAAATTTCCATTCAGTTTAAAGAATTGTAGTCTATAATTGTTTGAGTCACAGACCATAAGTTGCCCTGACTTGTTCACTAACAAAGATCTTGGATAATTAAACTCCCCGTCTTTTTCTCCCTGCTCTCCAAACTTGTACTGAAACTTTCCATTCCTGTAAAAAACTTTGATACAGTTATCACTATGGTCTGTCACTATGAGATATCTGTCATACTGAATACAGTGGATAGGAAAAGAAAAAGAGCCCTTCTCACCTATCCTCCTTAGAAACTTTCCATCGGGAGAAAATATCTTTATAAGTTTTTTACCTACGTCTGCAACAATGATATTCCCCTCACTGTCTACAGACAGACCCGAGGGAATATCAAGCTGACTGTCAACGTTTCCTTTCCCACCAAAACTTCCCACGAACTTACCCTCACCGCTAAAAATCTGAATTCTATGATTAAAGCTGTCTGCTACAAAAATATTGCCATTATTATGAAATCTTATTCCCCGAAGATTGTTCAGTTCTCCCGCATTGTCACCCTTCTTACCAAATGATCTTAAAAACTTTCCTTCACTACTGAAAATTTGAACTCTGTTGTTGAATTGATCAGTTACAGCGATCTCGTCATTAGTGTTCACTGCAACTCCCCAAGGCCCATTAAACTTTCCAACCGACGAACCCTGTTCTCCAAAAGCTGAAACAGGTTTAAGTGAAATGGTTTTACGAGGACAATAAATTGACTTCCGTGCACATGTACCCCGTTTACCTTTATCGCCACTTTACATCTTCCTTCATTTCTGGGAGAATAACTGATTTTATAGAGTCCGTCCTTATTGTCAACTATTTGCAATTCCGTTGCGCAGTCGCGTCCTTGTTCGTCAATGATCTCCACCGTTACATGGTCACCTCCATTGTAACACTGACTTCCTTTATAGTCCCTTGTGGTCAAAGAAAAGTGTGCTTGACAGTTAGCAATTGCTTCTTCAAGTCCTTTTCCTTCGACGACTGACTGACGGGATTGCTTTTGTTTGGTGTGCTATTTCAACCACTCCGATTTCTTCGGCGTTTATGGTGCTTAGCATCTTTGGGTTTTCCACAAAAGCTAAAGCAGGAAGCTTTTCCGAGTAACGGTCTTTTGGCTGGCTTTGAGTTCCCTGAAATATTTCCTCGAATGATTTCTTTAGTTGAACGACTTCGGCGTGTGTGCTTCGTTTTAGAATTGTATCAGCTTTTTCCAACGATGATGCGATGATCTTTATTTCACTCTCGATCTCCGTCTTTTGCGTTGCTAGAGTTTCGAGGAATCTCTTCGTTTCGTCGTCCACCGCTAAGAGGATATTTTGTTTCTTCGCTTCAATAGTTGCAATTAAATTATCCACAAACTTCTGCACTTGTCTCTTGATATCATCGTTTTGTTGTATCAATTTTGCGTAGTCTTCATTCAGTCGACCCAAAGTGTCAATCTTTGCTTGTAAATCGTGCTTCTGTATTTGAATTAGTGATTTTAGTTCCATCTTTTGTCTTTCCGCTTCTTCCTCTAGGTGCAATATGGCGTGATCCGCATGATCTATCACAACTCTTCACCTAAAGTACTTATTATATACAGAAATCTTATAGTTCCCTTATTATTTTCTAAGATCTCAAGACACTTACAAAATACACCACCGAAAAGAGGGCTAAAGTTCTTCGAAAGAACCTTTCTACAGCTTATATGATTTTGTTTTTATTTATCCACAAAAAGTTTTGAAACCAATTGCACACAGATTTTTAAATCTTTATTCCACTAAAAGTGAAAAAATTATTATTCAACATCATAAGTGAATGTAATTTTTTCTGGTCATAATTGTACACGAACCAAATCATAATGAATAACAACAACCTTTCGTTTCTTAAAATAATGAATACCAGATTTATTTGAAAAGTTCTGTAAACATAACATTCTCAGCAGGAATACGCTTACATCGAAATGCTTCAGGTGTACATATTGGACATGACAATCCTTTTTCAGTCCTATTACCCCGCCAAAAATTAACAGATACGTGAACTAAAGAATTTCTTTTCATTTCTTCCCTATTATTTTATTTCTCTTCATTTCTTAATTTCATTTAAAACTCGTTGATTTATGTAGAAAGCAGTTGAATTTCACTCTGCTCAAAATAAGCCCACTGTCAGCATCAACATATCTCCCTGTTCAGAGAACTGCTAGTACATGTGGAATTGTGAATCCTCCTAAATGTTTGTTTATTTATGTGTTCCAAACTTACCAACAAACTTTCCATTCAGCTAAAAGACTTGTCAGAATAGTATTCTACAACTTCCTGAGTTACAAACCATAATTTGTCCTAATTTGTTCACCGACAAAGATCTTTGCACTTTCCATTAGGGATCCCTTCTGACGTATACAAGGGAGTTTGCGCCATGCAGAAGTGAATAACAAATTGCCTAACTTTCCGCTCTTCGTTCCATTTATCGGTTAGGCGTTGATAAGCGTATTCTAGTTTGGGATCTCGCAGAGGGGACACCATTGACAGAGCTAAAAGGACACTCAGATACAGTGTACTCTTTGATGTTTAATAGAGATGGGAATTTGCTGGCCTCAGGTTTGTTTTGTTTGTGCTTCGAATGAAGTCAAAGGAAAAAAGAATAAAACTAGTAAAGCCTCCCTTCATCTTTGCAAGTTAAGTAATGACTTCTTTGGATTATCCAATTCGTAGTTTTTATGTTTCTTATGGGTAGTGCGTTGTAAGTATATTACCCACATTGCTGTAGGCTATGAGTGCATGAGGGAGTGTAAGAGTGTAGGTCCGCAATACATACCTGAATTTTTAGTTATTAGTTAAAAGCACGTCGCTGTTTTCATCTTTGCTTCTCAGCAGGAAAGCAGTTGCACATATTTATTTTTTCTTCCAGGTGGAGTAGATAACTGTGTAACGCTATGGAACACCCGTTCCATTTGTAATCCTGATGATGACGACGATGAAGGAACAGACCCGAAGTAAGTGTTACAAGACACATAGAGTCTGTCACAAACCACAAATATTAGCAAGTTTATTTGCGCATTGCATGCCTACTTTTTGATTGCGCTTCGCTGGCCACCAGTCACTCTGACTTCATTGTTCCCGCTTGGCGGCAGTGTAAGGGACCATGGTACAGGAAAGAACTAGTTCTGTAAGTCCCTTCCTCCTTCGCACCTTCTTCCATTTTGGCAAAAAGGCCCTAATTACTCTTGTTTGCGTTCCTCGTATGTATGAATTGGTTAAGATGGCCTTCCTTGCTTTGAAGCCATACCCGGTTGAAAAATATTTACTCCTCTTAGACAGACTAAAGTCAGCTATTCTCAAAAACTAAATTGGAGTTTTTAAGTGAATATCGCCTCAACTTCCAAAAACTGTTTTTCAATGGATCTAAAGAAACCTAATGATAAGCAGGAGAGGGACGACATGAAACAAAATCTTAGCAGGCTACTATGAATCTTGATGAAACTGGTGCACATGAAGATATGATGTAAGCGAGGGAAAATGTTCTCTTGTAAATTAATAACGGTAATAGGACCATCTAGGATTTACAAGTAGATATGTAGTAGCTAGAGGGGAGAATTAACAATCAGATCTTGGGAGTTAAAGGGTTACCAGTCAGGCAAGATTTGACTTTGTGTTACTGATCCAGTTTCCTGATTTATTTCTAAGACCATATTGAGAGGTCTTTTCTCTGAACTCCTTTCCTGAAAATAGCTGTCATTCAACTTTATGTTCCTTGATGTTATTTTGCAGTACAATCTTTTATTGACTGTTTTTGAGGAAGTCAGGAAGATTATCATGAAGGCCTTAGCATTAGTTGGTAGCCATATCACGGCGTGAACCCAGGAAAAGCAGTGAGCTCATAGGAACCTTAAGGTATTAAAACAGACTGTGTCCAAAGTTGCCAGTCCCTCAAAACTTGATCTCCGATCCTCAATTCTCAATCTCTGACTCTCGATTTTTTTGAGAACTTCTAGGATCAAGGCTCAAGTCAAAGTTTATAGACATCTGAGTAGAGTTTGATGTGATAATAAAATTGTTTCCTCCAAATGGGGGATTGAGATCCTCAAGAAATTCTTCAGTTACGTGTCTCAATCCTAGATTCTGGAGCCTTGGTTCTCTGTCTTCTATTATCCCAAATGGCTTTGAGGTTTGAGAATGGAGTTTCAAGTTGAGACAGTGTCAAATGAAATACTTTTTAAATGTACATGTACTTTTCTAGTGGTTGACCAACCATTCTTTTTTATAAATAGTTGTTACCACTACTTTTTTTTAACAGTTATAATATCCTGTGCTGTTATCAGCTTGTTATTTGAAAACCTCTCATGTATTATCCGACATTTGGTGTTGGTTACACTGGTAAACTGATAGAAATTATGCTCTATGAAGACAGTATTAAAAACTTTGTAGCTTGCACATTTATACAAAATAGTAAACTGTAAAGAAAAGTCACTAAGTATGTAGCCTGTGTGAAGCCACCCCCCTGCCCTTAAAAAAAAAAGGATTATTTTTTAGAGTTAACCCTTTAACTTCCAAGATCTGACTGTTAATTCTCCCCTCTTGCTTCTGCACTTTTCCTTGTAATTGATCATGAGAATTTGGATTCTTGATTGTGAGAACAACTTCTACCTAATACGTTTGAGTATTCTCATTACCTGCTTCATGGATGATGTGTGGATATTATAGGGAGAAGTTACATGTGAATCACATCTGGGAATTTAAGGGTTAAGGATTGATTTTCTTTGGATAACCAGGGACTGAAAAGTTTTTTCTGTGTTAAGAAAGTTGCTCCAAAATCTAAAAGGATGTGTAGGCTTAATTGAAACCTTTTGTTGTTCAGATATTTTTCCATTTGTCCTGTCTAAATGCAGCAGGGTCTGCAATGGTTGTTAGTGCTATGAAATGTGGTTTGTTTTGGGGATTTGCCAGTGGGAAGGAGTACAAAAACTTTTGGGGGTTTTAGTTAAACCTCCATGAAGGGTGTCCAGCTCTTGTGTCTGGCTGGTTTTTATTCAACATTAAATTATTGCTATTCTTCAGCACAAAGTAGTGTACATACACGTATAAACCCTTTTCCCTTCCTTATCTACAAGCTTTTTGGATTTACTTTTCAACCCCCTGAACTTTCCTATCCCTGCTCACACTGAGCCTGGATGTAGGAATCCTATGCAGGGTGTGTAATGGTGAGCTTAGGGACTACACTAGAGACAAGTGGAAGGGTACAATGTAGTTTTCAAGCCCAGGTTACAATGCAGAAGAGCCAGTTATCCTTGGAAGTGGAAACTGTTTGTTCATAAAATGCTTGTTTTCTCACTGCAGCCAACAAAAGCAAGGTGTATTATGGAATTCCACCAGAACCCAATCTTGGAGTTATTATCGAAGAGAAAAATGAAGAGGAAGAAGATAAGGACAAGCCAAAAGTAAGTACATTTTGAAAATATGGAGTGGTATTTAATTTAGTGAGGGAAGTATTGCAACATAGCTTTAGTTTTGTTATACTGTGTTTTTAAATAAATTATTACACCCGGGAATAAAAGTTGCCTACATGTTATGTTTCTATGTTAACCCTTTCACTCCCAAGATCTCATTACTAATTCTCCTTACAGTTTACAGTACAATTCCCATGGTGTTAGTTTGGAGAATTTGGTTTTGGATCAGATAATAATTCTTATCACTTGTTTACTTGATATTGTATTGGTCTTGTGAGGAGAAAATCTTTCATGGTCACTCAGAAGATTTAAATAAATAATGATAATAAAGTAATACCAGCAATGATAAAAACTTCATTAAATACAAAAGGTCAAACAGTTCAGTGACACTTTATTTTTTAGATGATATGATATTCAATATACAGAGTCAGTTCAATTTGTTAATCAATGCAACTTATCTAGATGTGCAGAGCTTCTTATTTATTATAAAACTAGATAAGTTCAAATGAATCTACTGTACTTGAAACAGTCTTATGCCCAGACCTCCAATTGCCAAGTCCCTCATTTCAGTTTTATATATGAATGTAAGCATTATGTGGTTTCTGAGATCATTAACATGTACACTCTTACAAATATTTTCAATCCTAAGAACTCTGCTTACATTTCAAAGTACAAAATAGTGATAATGACTTCCATTTTGAAATGGCAGGTTAATCCTTAATTAACTTATTTTTAAAAATCTATTTTTCAGCTGATAGTTGCTGATAATGTTTGCCGCCAAGGTTCTGTTTTTGACTGAAAAATTGAAAACCATCCATATGTTCTCTGAACTATTCATATACAAAATTAACCGCAATGACTTGGCTGCTCTTCACATGCTGATACAGCCCTTGGTTTATCAAGTTCAATATATTTTCTGTGTTTGACTTAAACATATTAGTTTGATTCAGTCAACACCTGAATTTATATTTAAAAATTCTCTTCCCCTAAAATACTTACTATACACAGAAATCATAGTCCCCTTACTATTTCTAAGATCTCAAGACACTTACAAAATACACCACTAAATTGTATTTAGAGTTCTTTGAAAGAACCTTTCTTCAATTTTGATGATTCTTTTTATTTTATCTAAAAAAATTCACTAACAACTCTCCCACGGGTTTTCAGATCTTTATTCCAGCTATAAAACTGAAAAAAGTTTTGTTCAAAAGTGACTGTAATTTTTTGTTGTTATAATTGTAAATGATCCAAATCATAATGAATAACCACAACCTTTCGTTTGTTAAAATAATGAATACCAAATGTATATGGAAAGTTCTGTAAACGTAACATTCTCAGTAGCAATACGCTTCCATCGGAATGCTTCACAGGCGCACATATTGGATTTGATTAACCTTTTCTCAGTCCTACCACTCTGCCTAAAAAATTAACGGATATGTACTCTACAGAGTTTCTTTTCATTTCTTCCCTTTCACTTTACTTCTATTCATTTGTTAATTTTATATAAAAATCAAGTGATTTATGTAGAAAGTGGTTGTCAATCTCACTCAGCTCAAAATAAGCCAAACAGTTCACCAGAGCGAACAAGCACTACTCAATTATCTGAATACGATGGTAACGTTCACGATGAGCAACAACAAATCTCCCTGTACTGAGAACAGCTAGTGCTCTTGGATATCTGAATTCTCCTAAATTTTTATCTTGAGTTCCAAACTTACCAACAAACTTTCCATTCAGTTCAAAGACTTGTATTCTACGATTGCCTGAGTCACAGACCATAAGTTGTCCTGGCTTGTTCAATGACAAACACCTTGGATAATTAAACTCCCCATCCCTTCCTCCCTGCTTTCCAAACTTGTACTGAAACTTTCCATTCCTGTCAAAAACTTTGATACAATGATCACTATTGTCTGACACTATGAGATATCTATGATATTGAATACAGTGCATAGGATAGGTAAAAGACCCCTGCCCACCTATCTTTCTTAGAAACTTGCCTTCAGGAGAAAAGATCTTAATCAGTTTGTTACCTACGTCTGCAACAACGATATTCCCATCACTGTCTACAGACAGACCCGAGGGATAATCAAGTTGACTATCAAGGTTTCCTTTCCCACCAAAACTTCCCACGAACGTACCCTCACCGCTAAAAATCTGAATTCTATGATTGTAACAGTCTGTAACAAAAATATTGCCATTATTATGAAATGTTATTCCCCGAGGATTGTTGAATTCTCCCACCATGTCACCCTTCTTACCAAATGATCTTAAAAACTTTCCTTCACTACTGAAAATTTGAACCCTGTTGTTGAATTGATCAGTTACAGCGATCTCGTCGTTAGCGTTAACTGCAACCCCCCAGGGAAAAGAAAACTTTCCAACCGACGAGCCCTCTTCACCAAAAGATAAAACAGGTCTAAGCTGAAACGGTTTAACGCTGTGCACATGTTCCCCGTTTACCTTTATCGTCGCTTTACATCTTCCTTCATTTTTGGGGGAATAACTGATTTTATGGAGTCCATTCTTACTGTCAATTATTTGCAATTCCGTTGCGCAGTCGTGTCCTTGTTCGTCAATGATCTCCCTTGTGGTCAGAGAAAACTGTGCTTGATGGTTAGCAATTGCTTCTTCGAGTCCTTTTCCTTCAGCAACTGACTGACTTGCTTTTGTTTGGTGTGATATTGGCAACATTCCGATTTCTTCGGCGTTTTTGGTGCTTCGCATCTTTAGGTTGTCCAATGAAGCTAGGACAGGAAGCTTTTCCGGGTAACGGTCTTTTGGCTGGCTCTGATTAGTTCCCTGAAAGATTTCCTTGATTGATTTCTTCAGTTGAACGACTTCGGCGTGTGTGCTTCGTTTTAGAATTGTATCAGCTTTTTCCAGCGATGATTCGATGATCTTTATTTCACTCTCGATCTTCGACTCGTCTTTTTCGTTGTTATAGTTTCGAGGAATCTCTTCGTTTCATCGTCCGCCGCTGCGGTAATAATTTTTGTTTTTTCGCTTCAATAGTTGCAATTAATTTGTCCACAAACTTCTGCACTTGTCTCTTGATGTCTTCGCTTCGTTGTATCAATTTGGTGCAGTCTTCATTCAGTCGACCAAAAGTGTTAATCTTTGTAGACTCCAGCCAAGAGTTGATTTAAAAGAGAAAATTTATTCCTCGTTCACAGTCATAGAGTAAATTAAACGCATCTGATCATGTAGAAGGTGATGATGTAAATGATGTAAATGATACAAATGATGGTTCGACTGAAAGGAAAAATTACATTATAAATTACAATAGATCCAAGAAAATTGACAAACAAAATGAAAACGAAAAAAGGACCAACGACTTACAGATATTTCCTCCTACTGACTTGAACGGGCCGAGTGAAATAGCCGTTGATTGAAAAACAAGAACTTGCCGTAACAAAGGGCCAACACTGAATATATATTACAATGAAAAACGAAAACTTAAAAAGTGTAATCAAACAAGTCACGTGGAGATCAAGGGTTAAAATTTAAATCAAGGGTAACGCACGTACGTGAGAGGTCACGCATGTTTGAATCTTACAATCTTTGCGTGTAAATCGTGCTTCTGTATTTCAATCAGTGATTTCAGTTCCATGTTTTGTCTTTCCGCTTCTTCCTCAAGGTGCAATATGGCGTGACCCGCAAGATGTATCAAAACACAGCTTTGACAAGCTGCCGTTTCGCAGTTCTTGCAGAAGTATTTAAGTTCTTCTTTCTCATGCCGCTGTTTAGAGCAGAACAAGGGTCGTTTCAACACGTCCTCGTAATCCTTTGAATGATGTTATGTACAATGAGGCACTCTTCACACTTAAACATGCAACACTGGAAACAGTAAGAACTTCCATTCCCACTCGGGCACATTTCCCGCCAAGATTTAAAATGGCGGACTTACTCACTATTCTTGGCTTTTGAGTTACAAGATGATATCCATTTACTCGGTGATATGTTGGAGGAAAGTGATAAAGAGATTGTTTTAAGTGCCGCATGCTGCTTCATGCGCAGAAATTTAACTCGCATTCAAGATTATTTTGAGCAAACTCTGCCTAGATATTTACCCGACGAATTCAAGCATCATTTCCGCATGACGAGAGAAACTTGCGAACTTCTCTCGCGATAAATAATGCAAACCGGACAAATACCGACGACAAATTCGTCTGGCGACCAGTCATTGCTCCACAAAAGCAAATCCTAGCGTTTCTGTGGAGGATAGCTTATCAAGAACCGGCTCGGGCTGTGGCAGATCGTTTCGACCTCACATCCAGTAGTGTCGACATGGGTTTTCCGCAGAGTCGTGCAGGCAACTGTTTCCCTTTGTGGGCAATACATCAAATGGCCAACTGTTAAGTCATGGCAAGCAAATAAGAGAACCTGTTTCATTATTTTATTCAGAATCAGGGTCAAAATAACATGACTGATGTATCATTTTAAAAGCAAAAATTTACAGGAAATCAGATACAAGATATAAAGTCATCTTCAAGGGGATTCCCCGGCGTTATTGGGGTAGTCGATGGCACCGATGTCGGCCCCCTGAACACGAACCAGAGGCCTACATCAACAGAAAGTAGTTCCACTCAATAAATGTTCAGGTATTAAAAAAAAGACAAACAACTAAACAGACAACTGTACAACTTGACAGTGTTGTGTCAAATGATCACTGCACATTATTTCCAGTTCTTCTTTGGAAATGTTTCTTATAGCAGTGACCTACTGATATTAGAAATATTAACTTGTAATATCACCAATTTGACACAATTGTTAAGCTGAAAAAGCGATTAGATAGCTTCGAAACATCCATCTAGCTGAACCTTGTACTTCCTAGTAAAACACTTGTAAACTGAAATACAAGAAACCCTAATTTTCAGCTAATACCCTAGAGTAAATGGACTGCTTTTTGCATTTGTTGTTCTGATTGTGATCCACATGTATCTACAGCATGCACAATTCATAGACTAGAGAATACATAGAGCTAATATGTTTGATGTTATCCTCCTTCAGGTGGCTCATAACACCCTTGAGAGACAATGGCCATTAAACTGTCCATCATAGAAGGTTTAACAGAGTCCTTTCTTCAGTTCGCCAGAAAATTGAGAGGGCAATATCCCTTCTCAAAAGGCGATGGAGAAGGCTTCTATTTCTGAATCATCTTGATCTTGAACCAGAAAATGTCTTTACAGAACAAATTATATTGACAAAATAATCAAGGATTAGTGTTAACCCTTTACCTCCCATGAGTGACCAAGAGAGAATTTCTCCTTACAATATCAATACAATATCAATCAGATAAGTGATGAGAATAAAGTAAAATATAAATTAGGGGATTATTAGTTGATCCAATACCAAATTCTCCAGATGGACATCATAAGAATTGTACAGCAGTCAGTAAGGAGAATTACTAATGAGATCTTGGGAGTTAAAGGGTTAACTCCTTTTCGAATGACCAGCCTTAGAGAGCTTTTAAGAAGTATTGAGGTATTATACTCTGAAGCACTTAGATGAAAATAATTCTTTGGTACCACTTTAAATCGCTACGAGGCTTCAAGTTTGAGAACTGTCGTTCAATTTTTTTTTTTAATCGACGTTGCAATCTGTATAGTGACCGTTCATATTTTAGTGAGAATAATCTAATCCTAAGTATTAACGTTCTCATTCAGCAATTACATGGTTTATGAAGTAACTTATACCTATTGTGCTTCCTGTTTCCAACAAGTTCGCCTTTGGAGTCTCTACACTTTCAGTTCCTTAGTCTCGTTCAAGGGACATAACTACCCAGTGTGGGACGTGCAGTTCTGGAAGGGGACTACCAGAAATAGTTAGATTTCTTAACTAATCATTTCTCTTTTTTTTCCACAACATGAATTCACTTATTTCCAAGAAAAGAAATCTAGTATATCAAATCGTCTTCTCTTCACTCCCCCCCCCTCCCTCGGATTCCGGGCCTTGCCATTTAACAAATTCGCAAGGTATCCTGTATTGGAGTAACTTTGGCAATTTTCCAAAGTGTTCAGTTGATCGGCAAAGTGTAGCAATAGATAATAAACCCCTGTGCGAGAAAGCAAATGGGGGCGAAAAAGACTAGTGACTAGAGGCCGGCCCATTACCCTTTGCGAAAATGGATCAATGCCAGTATCTGAGAAACTGTGCACCTACTCTTCCCCTAGTGGTGGCGTTTGTCACTCCTCTGTTGTACATGTTTTTCGCGTACGGAAAGATCGCCGTAAGTTTATGGAACAGAAGCAAAAATGGAACAATTCACAAGGCAGTTGCCAAGGCCAAAATGAAATCAACTCGCTTAATGGTCGCTGCTGTCCTTGTTTTTGTGGTCACCGGGCGCCAACCTTAGAATTGCAACTACTGGAGGCGTATTGCATTGTAGAAAATTTATCGTCTAAATATTTTTTCATAGTTTATTTTTGGTGTATAATTTTGCAGATATCCAGCTCTTCTATAAACCTTGTCATCTACGCATTCCTGTGCCCTGAATTCAGGAGAGGAGTTCTCAGACATTGTTACTTCTGTTGTTCAAGCAATTGTCCTTTGGGTCGCGTGGAGCCTGTCATCTAATATGGACGAATCAGAGTAGCAAATAAACGGAACAGCAACTTTTCCGCTTATGTTCGTACTGCATACATATTTTTGGAGTCACACCACAAAGCGACAACGTGCGTGGACCACTTGAGTGACTGGTGACAAGTGTAAGGCCCAAGGAATAATGGGAGCAAGACAGGTCAATATTTTGGCGTCTGTCTGGTCTCTGTCATAAACTGAAGATCCTCATGTTTGTGCACGCACCGCATCTCTGTATTTAGGTGCACTCCGCTGACACAGAAGCAACAACAAGCGCGGTGTGGGAGTGACTATTAACGGGCATGAAACGTGGGGGAACATGGAAGATGCGAGAATTAATTCTGCATTCTTTCTTGTGCATCCCATTGTATTTTGGTATAACTCAAGGGAATTAAGGTTATTTTGATAACTGAAAAAAAAAAACCCGATCGGTCTTCCTTACGACTCTCACAGACATTAGATGCTTAAGAAGACCTTCCTTACTCAGATGCCTCACCCCGCTTAAAAATACTTACTCTTCTAACACAAAGTGAAATAAGCTATTATTAAAACTGAATTGGAGTGTTACGAGAATATCGTTATCAATTCCCAAAACTATTCATCTAAGGGTCCTGAGAAGCCTAAGATGAAATAAAATCGTAGCAGGCGCCATTATGAATCCTAACGAAAAATAGTGCACATAAGGTCTTAAAACTGAGGTACGGGAAAAAATGTACTTTTGTTCAAGTGATTCTTGGAAATATCCCTCATTAATATCTAACAAAGAATCTTTTGCAACAACCTAGTTTACGTTCTTGTCACAGAGATGTATGTTTGATCACCTAAATGCATATCTTTTTCTGTATTTATGACTACTTTATACAACAATTTGTTAAATGTTATTGTCCTGTAATAAGTTATAGACAAAACTTCCAACAGCAGTCTCGGGCTCAGAGTCAATACCTCTTCGTGTCTTGCAGTTGTTTGACGTCATTCCTAGTTACGTTAAATATGGGAAAATATAATGTACTCCTACAATCTTCCTCTACAATGCAACTGAAGTATTAAGGTTTCCTTATGTGGGTGCTTTACATGTTTTCGTACATGACCTGTCTACCCTACGATTATACCAATGACATGGATCCCAAATTATTAGGGGCTCAACC